AAAAGAAGCAGGCAGCTTGTCTGGCAGTCAGCAGTTGAGATGAGTAGGAATGCAGCACAGCTTGCACTTCAGGTGCATTTTATCATTCAACTTTTGTATCCTGGCTATATGTCTGTGCTTTTCATTACTTTCTTCTGGCATCAATCAGGTTTGCTGATACTTCCCCTAATACATATAATTGGCTCTTGCTTTAGGTCAGATACCTTAATTTTCATGTCAGATGGAGTGATCTTGTTCGTCCTGAACAGATTCCCTTCGATGGAAAAGGTCCAGAAACAGAAGCTTCTGCTTTTAGAAATGCTTTTATATGTGGTAAGAAAAACGTGGAACACGAAATTAGATATTGCGTTGCTTTTGGGAGTCAGAAGCATCTGCCTTCTCGAGTGATGAAAAATATAACAGAAATAGAGCAAAGCCATGATAGAAAGGAAATATATTGGTTTTCTGAGACTCACAGTCCATTATATCTAATTAAAGAATATGAAGAGAGTGTGGAGAAGGACAAGCCCTTGGATGTATTGTCCAAGTTGCAGAGGAGGAAGTTGAAGGGTTCCTGCAAAAATATATTCTCTTATCTATTATGGAAGCGAGACAATAGGGGCAATTTTTACTGTTCTTCATGTCATCAGAATGTCTCGTTTAGGTATTTTGTTTCACACGTCTTTCCCTTTTCTTTTACAGCTCTGCACTTTTTTTTCTTTCATTAATATATTGCAATATATGTGATGTTCACGAATTCTGTCAAGTGCAGTGCATGCCAAGGTATTGAAATACCATCTTTTTGTATTGAATTGTAATTGCTTCTCTAACGGTTTGAATTTTTAATTTTTTTACTTCCCATATACTTAACCAATTTGATGAACATACTGTACACTACGGAATTTTCAAATAGCCCTCTTCTAAATAAATGTGAATTTCCAATAACCCCCTTCTAAATTAATGCTAAAGGAACTAAAATGTGAGTACCAGAAAACAGTGATGCGTGTAATAGACTGGGCGAAAAATAGATTAGATGTTTAACATGTGTAAATCATCTCTCTTTTATAAACCCAACTGAGCAAAATAATATCGTAACATTACAAGCACTTTGCTTTTGAATCACTTTTGTTTTGCTATCTCACTTTTCTTTTCTGTTACATCTGTGTTTCTTATATAGTTGGTGCTATATGTTGTTTTCAAGAGTTTTTAATGGTGTTTATTGGTATCGATGGAGCCATCCTGGTGTTTCAGCTATTGAACACAATTCATCCATGAATCAAATACTATGAATGATATTGGTAGTTTAATATGAAATGGAGGTAAGGGTGATAGAAATTCAGAGTAGAGGTCATTGGGCCTCTTTCCTTATTATTTCTGTGTAAGTAAATTAAAAATGTATTAAAAAACACCATTTAGTGGTGCAACCATAGCCACTGGAGAAGATATAGCATCCGTATCTCTAATCTACTGTTTGACATTTATGATATCTACTTTTGGAAGGAATTAGCATGTATCTCTAGGATTCACATGTTAATTTTGTATAGCAAGCAATGATATGATGAAGAACCTGTATACTTGAGCATAATGGCATTATATAAAACTTTCATATTTGCGGACTTCTTTTATTTGTGCTGTGTGTTCTATGTTCGTATCAACTTTGTTATCTTGGACAAACTTCAGTCTCCTTTGCGGCATCCCTGTTTGACTTTTCCTTGATCCTGCAAGAGTAAAACAAAAGAGAGGCTACTCTGAGAGTGCAATTTACCAAAGCTTCCTCTAGACCTACTTCTACCCTTCCTCCTATCTGAGCACTGATTTAGTCACTTAGACAAAAGCAGGCCAATGATATTGAATTGCATTGTTTTGGCGGTTCTCCCAGAAAAGCCTAAATTTGCATCTTGTTCTTTCCATTAGAGGCAAACCTAGTTTCCTTTACTTCATCACACACCAGTCCCCTCTCCCCCTGGAAGATAAGAAGTAGGGAACCATAATTTTTGGTTCCATAATGATGTATTTGTAATTAAATATCTACGCATTGCTGTATATTTTTGGAATCGTCTCGAGTCTTAAAATTTTTAAGAGATGGGGGCAAGGGGTAGTGAAGTATGGACTAACATTGGTAGAGTATATCCTGCTTTATTGTTGCGCAAAAGCTGGGTGTCACGTGTGCCTCTCGTTCGATGATTAATCACCTATTTAAATAATATTTTATATATGATTAAAAGATCTAGGAAAACTTTAATACCTGTTTTAATTGTAAATTGTTATTTCGTTAATTATATGCTAGCGAGCACTGTTCCTTTGGATATGGATATCAACTTTGGATAGAACTTGACAAGACCTGATTGCCGTCTTTGTAGTCAGCCATAAAATTCTGATTTAATGTACATCCGCTGTGAAACATGTCAACGTAACAATACTTTAGCATATTTCTATGTGATTTATGTTC